GGGGGGTGAGGGGACACGCCTCGGGCCGCTGTCCACTTCTTGCTATGGGTGGGGGGTGATTGGAGAAGACACCCCTGTAGATCATCTCCAGGCTCCTTCCAATGCCTTCCCCAGGGCAGTCCTGCCCTGCAGTCATTCTCTGTCCCCCTTATCACCTTTAGCTGGCCAGTCCAAGGATCCGTGGTCAACCATAGCCTTCAATTTATCCCACCTATAAGCACCCTAAGCCAGGCAGGTGGGGCTCACCAGCTCCCAGGCTACTGTTGAGGAGGCTGAGGGGCAGCTACATGCCCAGGAGACACAGCAAGGCCAAGACAACGTGGTCCAAACTTGCCCCCACTCCACTCCCAGCCCCTGCCTCTAGGGCCCAGATGGGTCACTATTGCACAGGACACAGGGAGCTTCAAAGCCTTAGACACACAAATGGTTAAACCCAGACTCCCTCCTTTCTCTATCCCAATTTTGATCCTTGCTGACTCTGCTCCCCCTCCCTACCCCCAGCTATTCTGGGACAATGGAGGCAGCAGATGGCCCGAGTCCTGTTCCCTCCACCCGACCCTCAGGATCTGGGAACAACCCGAAAATCTGCTACTGCTTCTAAAAGCGGGCGACCAGCAGCCTTCCCCGGGCAGGGCGGGGCAGTCAGCGGCTGTGGATGGCCCCATTCCATCCCCATAGGGCTTCAGGGCTGGGGCCGTCCTCACTCAGCTTGGCTCGCCTCCCACAAACCCAGCATTAGGTCAGCCCAAAAGAAAGGAGGCTTTGGAAAAGCCCATGCAGCTGGGCATGTGCACCTGACCCACTGTGTGACCACAGCACGTGGCAGTCCCTCTCTGGACCTCTCATCCTCAGAAAACAAGGGGCTGGGGTTCAGATGCTCAGCAGACACCCCAGACACAGATGCGGCCAGAACAAGGTTTCTGGTCCTTCAAGGTGGAGAATGTACGCCAAAGGAGCCCCTGACCGCACTGTAGCCCTCAGGATCTCTCCTCCCTCCTTGCTCATCTAAGATTCCCACTGTGACCCCAAGTCCCAAATCAGCAGGCATGACACAGAGTGGGGAGAAGAGCCCCCCATCTCTAACCTCCACTATGTGCCATCATACCTGAAATTTCACCACAACCACTTTCATTCATTCATCCAACCTCCCTGGGATCCAAAATTCTAAGGGTACTTGCACTTACTCAGCACCCACGTTTGCTGTCAACTTGCCCCTAGACACCTTGATCTGACACCTAAGGCAGAATCCCTCAGCTCTAAGTCCCCATTTTGCCTTCCCTCATTCTCTCACCTCCCCAAACCAGGCCCTGAAACAATAGAAAAGGGTTAACAATTCCCAGCACCAGCACCTCATGGCACATACACACTTACATTCATCATGTACAATATGTGCTACACAGATACACAAACCACACATATATCCTCAGGTACAGACGTGTAGAAGGGGTCATGTCACACACATACCACCCCCAAGCACACCCTCACACACCCGACAGAGTGATAACAGTCACCACTCACTGAGCCTTTTCTTTCTCTATCAGGCTATGTCACATGTATGTGCCCTTTACAAATATTATATCATGCCACCTAAGGCAACCACCATCACCACTGTGACAGAGAGATCAAAAGCCTTACACCGGTCAGGAACACTTCGGCAGCATGTAACAGAAAATTAGATCAAGAGAGATTTAAATAAAGTTTAATTTTCTCACAGAGCCAGATGCTGGAGGAGACATCTGTGGATGATTGTCTTGGCCTTTCTTCATGGCATCAAGGTGGCTGCCCCAGATCCAACCATCACACCCATATTCACAGCAGAAAGATGAGGTGTAGAGCTGCAAAACCTCCCTCAGAAACTGCTCTATGGGCTTTGTTTAGTTCCTTCTTGCTAGAGCTCATCACATGGCAGCCCCTACCAGCAAGGGAGGCTGGGAACATGAGCAAAAGGACTGTCACAACTGGCTGGGCCCTATTCTGATCATCCACTGGGCTTGGGAGTGCCGAGATTCCAAACAAAATCTGATCTTGTTAGCAAGGGGTGGGGAACAAGGAGCCCCTGGACACTGGCCAGCAACGGTATCTGCCACAGACCCTGGATTTTACCATTATTCCACTGGTCTCAGCAATTGGGGACCCAGCCAAGGAAGCCAGGAGTGGGTGAGCAGCACTGGAGCCCCAGGGGAATGATTGAGAAGTCAGAGCCAGGAACAGGGGCCAGACACCACCCAAGGCCCATGTCATTCTTTAAAGGGCAAGGAGCCCCCAACCCCAGCCCAGCTAAAGTGGCCCCTGCCCTTTTCCAATTAGACCATCTAGGAAATTCAGTTCTCAGAGCTTCTCTGGCCATCACCTGGTCCACCAGGTCCCGTATGCCGTCCAGCTCACCCCTGAGGGGCCTGGGATGCCTTCAGTGCCAACTACTACCATCTAGATCCTGGGCTTGCCCACCACCCAGAGGCCCTGCAGGAACTGCCTACCACAGGGCCCCGCCTGCCACAGGGCACCTTCCCGGGGCCTTCAGTGCTGCCTTAGGAGGTAAGGGACAGTCCAAAGCCTCACCCCAACCTTTGCCCACAGTTCAGGGTTCATCGGGCAACCAGCTGTGGACACCAGGGTGTGTCTGGGTAGAGAAGACAGTGGAGGGAGCGAAACCTGCAGAGAGACCAGAAGTGGATGTGATGGTCACCCCACTCCCCCTTCCCCCACAGGTTCCTGGGATGCATGTCGCAGGGATGGTTTGGAGCAGGGTTTCTGAACCTCAGCACCGCTAACATTTAGGGCCAGACAATTCTTTGTTGTGGGGGTTGGCCCATGCCTCGTAGGATGGTTAGCAGCACCCCGAAGCTCTACTCGCCAGATGCCAGAAGCAACCTCCCAAATCCTAATTATTAAAAATGTCTCCAGACATTACCAAATGTCTCCTGGGGGCAAATTGCCCCTGCTTGAGAACCACTGTTTAAGAGAAACTTCAAAGCCAGCGAAGTCATAAAGAGACCTCAACTGAAGCTGCACCATCCCACCACACGTATCCAAGTCTCTGGTTGGCAGCAAACTATAAATTCTAGAATGCTCAGGTTTGGAGGAAATTTAACAATTTCAATGTTTGTTTTTTCCTTTTGCTTGTTTGTTTGTTTTTTGAGGCAGAATCTCACACGGTCAGCAGCGCCCATAGCTCAGTGGGTAGGGCACCAGCCACATGCACCAAGGCTGGCAGGTTCAAACCCAGTCCGGGCCTGCTAAACAACAGTGACAACTGCAACAAAAAAATAACCAAGCATTGTGGCAGGCCCCTGTATTCCCAGCTACTTGGGAGGCTGAGGCAAAAGAGTCGCCTAAACCCAGGAGTTGGAGGTTGCTGTGAGCTGTGATGCCACAGCGCTCTACCCAGAGTGACAGCTTGAGACACTGTCTCAAAAAAAATTTTTTTTTCACACTGTCACCTAGCATATAGTGCAATGGCATCATCATAGCTCACAGTAATCTCAAACTCTTGGGCTCAAGCAATCCTCCCACCTCAGGCTCCTGAGTAGCTGGGACTACAGGCATGTGCCACCATACTAATTTTCTAATTTTTTCTGGCTAATTTTTCTATTTTGAATTTTTCTATTCTTAGTAGAGATGGGGTCTCATTCTTGTTCAGACTGGTCTCTAACTCCTGAGCTCAAGGGATTCTCCTGCCTCAGCCTCCGATTACAGGCATGAGCCACTGCACCTGGCCAACAATTTCAATTCTTAAACCTCTTTGCAGCTTAACTATAACTTACAGACTTTCACTGATGTGGAGCTCGCCCCATTAGAAGACAGCTTCTTTCATCTTGGAATTTTTTTCCTATATTGAACCAAAGTCTATCTCTTTGTAATGTCCAACTTGTTCAACACAGTCTTGGCCCCCAGGGTCCTCGGAATAGCTGTGAGCCCTCTGCCCCAGGACAGGCACCTCAGAAGAACCTCAGGTTCCCCCAAGGGTCACATACTTCAGATAAATCCCAAGTCCAGACAGAGCCTACAAAGGCTTTAGGGAGGTCCCCTGCCAACTCCTCACCTGAATTTGATGTCACTCTCTCTCCTGACTACACTGGCTCCTTTTTCTTCCTTGAGCAGATCAAGACCTCTCCCGTCCCTGGCCTTTGTGCATTCCTGTGCCTAGAGCACTCTGCCATCTATTCTTCTCCTAGATAACCCCTGCTAGCCCTTCAGATCCTTCATGTTGTCCTAATATCATCTCCTCAAGGAGGCGTTCCCTATCTAGCCCCCCACCCCCTGGCAGCACCCCAGCTGTCCTTATGCTCTCCTGTAATAGCCCTTCATCCCCTATACACCCAATGTCCTGGATTCCTCATCCCCCAGGATCTCTCTGGACACGTTTCTGTCGCTCAGGTAGGCCCAGAGCTCACCCTGTCCCCTCCCCTACCTATTGCCTCCCTGAGTCCCTGATCACTCCCCCAAAGGCAAGCTCAGGGCTCTTCACCCAGTTCCCAGTCTCTCCCCATGTCACTGACAAGGGGCAGCAACAGGAGTAGAGGAGTGGGGGGACACTCTGACTTCCCAGACATGGAATAGATTGCCACGGGAGAGAGGCGCCCCCGTGGTTGGAGGCATGCAAGCAGAAGCCAGCCCCCAGATGCTGGGAGGGGATCAAGCATCAGTTCTGAGGTTGAACCATTGGGCCAAAAGTCCATGTGCCACCCCCACTCCCCCTTGCACCCACCCCAGCAGCCACAGCCAGAAGCACAAGTTACAGTTGGCCAGCGGGGGTGTGTGGAAAGGAAGTGGCATGTCACAGGCTGCGCTCAAACACAAACAGGGGCTGAGTTGAGTGGCACCAGTCTCCAGGTGGCCTGTTCAGGGCAGAACTGGAAGGTGTCATTCCAACCCTCTACCCCCCACACACAAGAACCATTTAAGAGTGTCAAAGAAACACAGGGCCTCAAAGATAAAAATTCCCCATCAGCCTGGAGTTCTACCATGAGAGCATCTCTTTTGCTCAGTGAAGACATGTCGGTCCCTCGGGGGTTTCCGAAGAATCCCAGAGGATCAGGGCTGAGACAGCCCTTCATATCCATGATGTCCCAGAGAGGAGAAGACACTTGTCCAAGGTCACATAGCAAGACAGTGGCAAAGCAAGGACTGAAATCCACTCCCAGCTCTGTGCTGTCAGCCGCCAGGGCCTGTCCCACTCCTCTCCTACCCAGCCCCCTATCTTCGCACACCTGGACTCAGCTCCATCCTCCCGTGCCACCTTTGTAGCTCCCAGACCCACCTGGAGGGATCATCCTCGGGAGAGAAGGGGCCTGGTAGCTTAATGACGTTTAGTCTTCCTTCAAAGACACCATAGCTGAGGGTGACCTAGGCAGGGAGAAAGAGTGTTGAGAGTGTCCCACTGGGAGTCCCCACAAGGGGGCAGCATCCTGGCAGAAGCTGGCAGCAGGAGGCTCACTAAGGAACCCACTCCGTGCCCCAAAATTATTTACAGCTTGTAGAGCACTTTCCTACCCATGATCCCATTTGCTCCCTCTACAGGTCAGCTCACCTGGGAAAATGAAATGATATCCTCACCCTACAGACTAGGAAACTAAGGCCTGAAAGAAAAAGGCATCTTTCCAATAACTTGTGTGTCTAGACCAGGACTGAGGTCTTCTGAGGCTCACTGTAGGGCCCTGGCAAATCCTGAGCCCCTCATCCATCATGCAATAAGGACATGGGACTAAGATCTGAGCTCAGAGGCAGAAGAGCACAGTAAGCTTAGGAGCCACCCAGCTGGGGTTCCAATCCCCCTCTGCCCTACGCTAGCCACATGCCGCAGTTCCATCTGTAGAGTGGGGCTGATGTTAGTAACTGACTTCATGTGAATATCATAAGGACCAGACAGTTAGAGAAGGTAGGAGACAGGTCATGTAACCCAAGGCCCGCCATCAGCCAGTAAGCCCAGCCCTGGGATCTGGAAGAGAGAGGAGCTTTCTCCCACTGCTGTAGTGAAAACCTGGGGCTGCCATCTTGGAACATGGAGGTGAGCCTGTCAGAGCATGAGGCCAATGTGGGGGAGAGCACATAAGGGAGGACAGAGGCCTGGGATGTCATCTGAATACCCAGAGCCCACCGGGCCTGGCAATCCCAGTCCTCAGCTTCTCAGTTACATGAGCCAACTGATGCATTTCCACTTAACCAGTCCAAGGTGAGTTTCTGTCACTTGCACCCAAAAGGGTCTGACTCATGCTATTGGGCAGAAGATCCCAGGGACCCTCCCAGCCAGAACCACCTGCAGAGTTGGAGGGTGGCACCTGCAAGGCAGAACCAGTTTGACCTTTGAGCAGAAACACTACCTGCCAGGTGGTAGGATAGGGTCCCACCCCTCCCCCCTGGCCTAAAATTATGCCTGAGTGTCCCCCTTACATATCTGTTCCTTCCCAAAAACCCGTGGATGGTCCTTTGCTACCTCAGTTTCTCCATCAATAGAAGATAGCCAAACCCCAGAATCTAAAGTTCTAGGTTGCTTTCAAATACGAGCAGGGAGGGGACCTCATGTTCTTGTAGGAGGACCATCCATGTCCCTTCTTCCCTCATTGCCACCTGTCCCAAGGCCAGCTCACCTGCTCTGGGAGCTGGGCCACCCTCAGCAGCTGCAGGGTCTCCAGGTGGGAGTGGAAGAGGGGGCTGGGTTGCAGATGGCCGCCCAGTTTGCACTCGATGATGTAGCCCACAGTGCAGTCATCGGGTAGCCGGATGAGAGCAGATGTGTCCACAAAATGGGAGCCACTGAGGGACAGAGCAGGACTGTAGCCACTGGCCCTGGCCCTCCACACCTAGAGCCCCTAGCCCGAGGCCTTCTACCAGGGCCAGCTGGTAAAGCAGAGTGCTACCTCCTGTGTGCTGTGTGACCTCAAGCAAACCAAGAACCCAGGGAAGCCTCAGTTTCCTCTTCTGTGAAATGGGGATAAGTCCCTGCCTGCACCAGGCTGTTGTGAGAGCTAATGTCAGGGCAAAGCACACAGGCCTTGGAGCCAGACTCAGCAACTGAATGGCCTTGAACCTGGGTGACCCTAGATGTATTAATTTCTCAGTGCCTAAGAAACAAGGCAAATACCACCTTCTCCTGAGCAGTAGAAACAAGGCGAACACCACCTTCTCCCCTGGGTGTTGTGATCCTCTTGGTAAAGGACAAGCCTGGCTCACAGTCAACCCCCAACACAAGGCAGTGTCCACTGATGTTGCTGTTAATAAAAGTAATGGCCTGCCCAGGAAGACCTCTCAAGGCCAGGGCTTTGCCGCTTCCAAAGTGTCAGTGTCCCACCCCTTACCTAGGCTTCCACTACCTCCGGGATCCCCCTCATCTGGGGCCCTCTAGGGCTATCTCAGCTCAAATGCCACCTCTTCCCAAAGCCTTCCCCCTACCCCCGCCCAGAAGCCCTTCTCTCTTCTTAGAGTGCCCCTCTGCTTGGCCTTCACCTCCCCTGTGGCACTGACCAGTCAGAAGAGAGCTGCAAAGAGGACCTAATGTTCCCAGACTCTACCAGGTGCCAGCCTAGACATTTTCTTATTTAACCCTTACTCCACCATTGGCCATTGTATTATCAGATCCATTTACAGGTGGGAAGACTGAGGCTCTTGGAGATTACATGACTTACTGTACATGGCCCCATGCACTCAGCTATGCACCCCAAGGGCAGGGTGGCAGGAGGTTTGCTCGTCATTCACTGTGCTGCTCTGAGACACAGGTGAACCAGGGGAAGCGTCTCCTGAGCTTACTCTCAAGCTCTTCCTGCCGTGAAGGTCCCTCATGTACAGCAGCATTCTCCCCTACCCGCCCTCCTGCCTACCCCTGGGTGTCTGCTTACCTGGCCCATGGGGCCATCTTCAAAGCCAGTTTGCGGTTGATGCAGAAGCCAGCACCGCCTGTGGCGAACCAGAACTGTACCCTCCTCTGGGAGAGAAAAGGCCAAAATGCAGAGTGAGCATGCGGGTTGGGGAGGATGGAGGCAGTGGCGGGACTGACCACCCAGGCCACACTTCATCCCAACCAGCATGGCTCAAAAGCTATTGTGCCTGTCACTAGAGTCTTGCCACAGCCAGGCATTATTATGTCCATTTGACCGGTAAAGAAGTCAAGGCCCCAAATCACATAGCTAATGAAGCTAATGATGAGTGGTAAGGTGGATCATCAGACCCAAAGCCAGCTGGGTTCTGGTTAAAGGGGACGTCTGGTATTTACCTACCAGCACACCTTACGTTTCCACTGAGAAATGTCTCTTTGGAAAGGAATCCCAAACACAGAGGTAATCCCGGGTTGACAGGGCCTGCCTGTGTCCATGTGGGTGCTGGACATGCCCGGGAAAGACATGGCTCAGAAATGAAGGTGAGCTGCGTCCCATACCAATCACCAGCCCTTTCTAGTGTCTACTGCATGTCAAGTCCCATCTCAAGGACTTGAGTAGGTGACCTCGTGTAACTACTCTTCTATGACACAACCACCCTATGTAAAGGGGTTGTAAATCACCTGTTTTGCAGATGAGGAAACTAAGGCACAGAGAAGTTAAGTGACTTCTCTCAAGGTCACAAAGCCCGACGGTGGCAGTGCTGGTAAGTGAACCCAGGGAGCCAGGCTCTGAAGTAAATTTTTCAACCCCAAAGGCAAACCACTTAGGTAGAGGCAAGTGGCCCTGGCCTGGGCGGAGTGGGAGCCTGGGGATGCTGAGCTCACCTGGACTTAGAGACTTGCTCACACACACAGCCCCGGGGCCCAGAGCATTTAATTAGGGCTCAGAGGCTGGTAAGTGCTGATAATTAAGGCTTTGTGTTTTCAACTCTTGGTTTCCCTAATGAGGCAGATGGTGAGCTGGAGAGGGAGGGAGAGCCCCGCAGAGCGCCCAGCTCCTGCACCAGACACTGTCTCTAGGGAGGGGGCCTCATGATCTGCCTTTTTCCTGGAACCAAGCAAGCCCCAGAGGCCTGGGACACCACAAAATCTGAAGCCTGTAGGTTCTGGGGTCAGGGAAAGAACCTTGCAATGTTTGGAACACGCTTATTACTAAAAAATTCATTGTTTATCTGAATGTCAAACTTAATTGGGTATCCTGGGGTTCTGTTTATTTCTTTTCTAAATCTAGCTACCCTAATCAGTGTCCATCCAGGTCTGGAATTGAAGCTGGTACTGGGGTCCCCTGTTGTGCCAGGTGTCAATTCTTCAGCCACTGGTGAGTGAAGAAGCCTGGAGGGGGAAGGGTATGCCCTAGGGAGGGAGAGGGGTGTCTGGGGCTCAGGCTGCAGCAATTTGTCCCCTGGCTCAGCGGTAACATAGCATTTTAATAACCTATGCAACTGCGTGGTGTGACCAGGTGGCTAGGAGCCCTGCGTGTGGAGACAGGAAGCCTCAGCTCACCTGCATGCTCACTATGTGACCAGGACAAGCCACTGGCTCATGGGTGATGAGGCCTTACCACCCACCGGTCTCCATGCCTTACTTGCATTATCTCAAGCTCCCCATTTCACAGAATAGGAAACTGAGGCCCAGAGGGGAAGCCACTGGCCCAACCCCATGAAAAGGGACCAAATCTGAAACTCAGACCCCACTACCCCTCTTCACCACACCCTGCCCCTGGGGTTGGAGGGAAGGAACCGACCCCTGACCCACCGTGCGGTTATGGGGCTGCGGCTCAGCTGCATGGATGGGCCGGTTCAGGCTGGGCCGGCCTATGTAGACATCTTGGGCCACCGGGAAGGCTCTAAGCAGCTGCAGCAGTACCCTTGGGTTCACATAGTTGTCATCATCCACATGGCAGAACCACCTTTGGGGTTGGAAGGGAGACAGTGAACATTGTGGGGAGCCCAGGGTTGCCTGTCAGGCTCCCCCTATGCCCCACAGCCAGTCAACAGTTACAGGATGGGGGGGTGGCTAACATTGAACGCACCCATTTTGTGCCAAGCAGCACGTTGTGTCATGAAGAAGGTGTGCTCGCTGAACGGATGAGGACCCAAACTCTGAGTCCAAAGTCATTGAGCTAGGGGACAGCAGGCTGTCACAAGGTAGGATTTGAACCCAACTGGTCTATGGGGCCCACTGCATATCGCCTGCTAGTGGGTAGTAGCTGGGTTCAGACCCTAGGAAATCCAGGGGTTCTAGTTACTGGACCAAGACCTGTTCACTAATTCAGGGGGTGGCATAAGGCTAAGGCTGCACCTAGCCCAGGAGACCCCGGAACACCTACCTAAGCCCACTGGCCAAGAAGGCATCGAACTCCGCAGCCATCTTGCAAGACAGAGCTGGGTGGCTATGCTCTGCGGAGCAGTTGGTGACCACAAGGTGAGACCCTAAACAAGTGAGGAGGAGTCAGGGGACTTTTCCCTGCTCCTCCTCTGAGAATGCAAAGCCAGGCCAGGCCTCGCACTCTCTCCCATTTTACATGTGGAGAAACTGAGGCCCAAGCAGGGCAGACCTGCCCAGGGCCATAGATCTAGGGGAGAGCAGGCTGGGACCCAGGTGTCCAGGGTCAGGTCCAGCAGCCCCACCCCCACACCCACATTGGTTTCCAGGGAAGGAGTCTGCCCCCCGTCCTGGGCACAAGAGAATCCCTATGTGTTTCCTGAGAACCCTCCAGCCAGGGCATAACCACCCAGCTTTCCTTGGCAACAGTAGAGGGCTCACCCCAGCCCAGCCCGGGCGGTTACCCAGTCTCTCCTGGAGGCCTTCATCTGGGCTGTCGGTGAAGATGAATGTCTAGGAAGAAGGAGGGAACAGGACTCACATCAGCCAAGGGCCCCCAGGCCAATCCATGGCCCACCACAGCCTAGCCCCTGATGGCCTCCTTTCCAGGCAGACCCATGGCACACTTCTGTCCTCCTCTAGTGACAGACACACACCCCTCTCATGGCCACATGCTCCTTTAGGACAACCTACCACACACACCCCACTCAGCTTTTGTAGACACACAACTTTACCAGTCCCAGGGGTGTAACCACAGCCACACATGCTGGGCCAAATCTCACTCTCTCCTGTCACACACACACATACACACACACCAGTCACACCTGGTCTCTCCATAGTCACATATTCACAACCCTAAACTTTTTGTCGGCAGACAAACTATGAGAAGACCCATATGCCCCCACCCGGGAACACTGCACCACTTAGGGAGATAGTCACACTTCCTGGGCCACACAAACCCCTGTACATGTGAAGGGGCCTTGAGCATCTCAGAAATGTTGCCTCACACCCTAATCCAGCTCGCGCAGGTTGGGCACACATGCTAATAAGAGTATTCGCACACCTGATCCCTCACAACCCTCTCTAAGCTCCATGAACAGGTGTGATGATCTGTTCCCTTCACATATGACAAAATGGAGACTAAGTGACAGACCAAGATAGTCAAGTGCAGAGCTTCTTGCGCCCAAGCAGGTCCTCTTTGTCCACTGAGCACTCCAAGGGCCTTCAAGGGCCTCCTCGACCCTTGGGCCACCCTTCCCAGGGCCTGAGACAATTCTGCACCCCTTCCAAGTGTCCCACTGGTTTAAAGTCCCCAGACTCCCCCATCCACTGCAGGTACTGCAACCATAGTCTAGCCCTGTCCAAAGTCAGGGCCCTGAGCTGCAACCCCACCCACTCACCCACAAAGCTCTCTTCTCTCCAGGAATTAGCCCTTCAGACAGAACAGCCCCTGCCTTGAGCCTTACTTTACCCGTCTGTCCAATGAGGGGTGTCAAAAGCTGTGAGAGTAAAACTCAGTTCTGTATCAAAGAACAAGGAAGAGCTGACAGCACAGCCAGGCTCGGCTCCTTGTGTTTCAGAAGAAACTGAGGCACAGCAGGCCAGGAGGCCACAAGTTGGGGTTGGCACGGGAAGGGACAGGAGGGAAACAGGCGTCTCCCAAGGCACATGGCCATAGGCTTGCTTCTGAGCCAATATTGCAAGATTCTGCCTCATTCCCACAGGTATGTTGTCCTGTCAGGACCAGAATCAGATAATACCCATATCTACCAGCAGCCTCTCACATCCTCCAGAGCTCCCTACTGCCCTTGGGATAGAGGCCAGCCTCACCTAACTGTGGCCTGTGAGGGGTCACCTGACGCGGCTTTCTCTCATTACTTCCTGTCCCCTGGGGTTTCTCTTAGCCCAAGTTTCTTTCAGCTCCCCAAGTATGCTATGCACACACACCCCTCTGAGCCCTGCACATGCCGTGCACTCTTTCCAGCCTCTAACTCCCAGCTCTGGCACCACTTCCTCCAGTAAGTCTTCCCTGACACCCTTCCAGCTACCATCGAGGCCCCTCCTCAGTCCCTGCTCCTCCTTTTGCTAACAGCCCTGAGTTACAGAAATGTATCTCTTGGTCTCTGCCCCACCAGACAATGGCATCCTGGAGGCCACAGTCTGGTCCAATTTCTCTTCTTATCCTGGCACTTGGGTGTCCTCAGGGAGGCCTGGGCAGTGTCCACCTTCTGAGCCCCTCTCCCTAGGGTCTTAGCTGATGCTGGAGGCCCCTGGCTTTCCACAGGAAATATGCTGGTGATCCAAGCCCAGGCCCTGGCCACCTTCTCCACGGCAATGCCATCAGTCCCTGGGAAGCTGAGACTCACAAGTCCACTTCCCTCCCTAGCTCCTCCCTGAGCCCCAAGCTTTCAGATCCCCTGGGGCTTGACTGTGGCCCTGTGCTTCCCCCAGACTTGGTCTGCCTCCCACCTGGCAGTGCCTTCCCTCCTTCTCACACACTGTACAGTTCTCCCCTCCCCACCCTCACATTCTCCAGCCTGCCCTTGTCACCTCCTGCCTGCTTTGAGGTGGCCCCTCCCCTCACCTCCCCACTCTGATCTGCTCCCACCCAAGTCTGTTTTCAACACAGCCCCCAAGGGATCCTGGCAAAGAAGCCAGGCCTGTCATGCCCTGCTCCTGGCAAACTCTTGCCACCAAACAGCTGTCAGAGTGGAACTCTCTCAAGCTGGAGCATGGGCCAAATGGACTAGGGACTGTCTGCTGATGACAACTAGTGAGACTGAGTAAAGGGGGTGAGCAGAGTGAGGGAAAGGGGGGGAGGCCAGGTCCAGAGAAGGGCAGGAGAGGGCAGTGAGGCTGGTGGTTTCAGCCCTGGGAGTCCGGAGGTCCCAGTTTCCTCTGAGCTGAGGGCTGCACTTGATTTGTTTAAGGAAGGGCCTGTGACAATGGTTAAAACTTCACAGGCTGCAGGAAACAAAAGGACATGCAGGCTGCTGGGGTAGGGAGGGGGTGGCTGGGGACCATCTGCTGCAGAGGGGGGAGATGAGGGGCCTCTGCCACCTCCCTCCCATCCACAGGGGAACTGGGGAAGAGAAAGGCTCACAAGAGCATAAAACCCGCCTCCTCAGCCCAGGACAAAGGCCACACATGAGCCCCAGCCCAGCCACAAGGCCCACCTGCCACCCCACTGCCCTTAACCAGCTGGGCCAGTGCCCAGCACTGGAGTTAACCAGCTCAGGCCAGGTTCAGACACTCCTGTCCTATGCAAATGGGGAAAATGAGAGATGAAAGAGGGGGGGCCTTGGCCGAGGTCACAAGGAGAAAGGATCCAAAGGATGGGAGGCAATGGGCTGGCGAGAGTGGGCCTCCCGCCCTCTTCCGCCATCTGAGCATCCTTCCCTCTTTCAACTTAACGACACGATTGCTAGACTCCGCCCCTTGCTCTAGGATCCAACTGGGCGAACTCGTCTCCTACCTCTGCTTAACTTTGCTCAGTTTTTTCACTACAAAATGGGAATATCAATATCTACCCCTCAGGCTGCTCTGAGGGCTAAAGGGAGAGAAGAGAGCAGCAGGCAGTCACCCCCCCCACCGCCACTTCCCCCCTCCCCCCATGCCTGATCCGCATCTCCGTCTGGGAGGGAGCCTGGACCTAGAAGGGGTCTTGCTTGCCTCTCTGTGCCGGCCTGGCACTGCCAGGCACAGCCGCCCAGACTGAGACTCAAGCACCCTCTCCCAGGCCTTGGCGGAGGTGAAAGGCACCCAGCAGGGGCTAGGTCCCACTAGGCTCTGCCCCCTCAGGCCTGTGGGTGATACTGGCCAGCACTTCCTCCTCTCTGGCCTCAGTTTCCTCATCCCAGGCAAAGGCACCACCATAGTGATCCAGACAAGACAGGAAAGGGCCTCAAAGCATGTGAGGCCACACTCTGGGTACACACAGACATATAAACAGGAAGGTCTGTGGGGAGGGCCAGCTTGGACGGCTTCCGCAGGAGGAACCAGAATCTCCCCAAGATGAGAAGCTGTGCAGAGTGCTCGGAAAGAGCTAGGGTGCTCAAGTGAAATTTACTAAGTGTAATATAAATGTCTTAACACAATAACTAAGAAAATGCCGTGAAGGCTATGTGAACTAGTTTGATGAAAATATTTCAAATTGTATATAAAACCAACACATTGTACCCCATAGTTGCATTAATGTACACAGCTATGATTTAATTTAAAAAAAAAAAAAGCTGGGGTGCTGAGGGCCTGGCTAGGAAAAACCTGCAAAGGTGCTGGTGCTAGGAAATCAGAGGAGGGGAGGGGTGCCCCCTCTCCAGGGGGCCCTGGCCTCTTCTATGCATTGCCTCCTCCCTTCCTTGGCCTCACAGGAGCCGTCAACCCCCTTCAAAGTCTCAGTTACTTCCTCCCACTGAGCCAACCACCAAAATGGGGACAGGGTGTGTGTGCGTGTGTGAATCCACCCTCCACTCCACATCCCCCAGTGACAGTCCCCCACACTCCAAATGGCTGATTTGCCTGAGGTGAGAAAGGCTACAGGGGACTCTTCTTGTTGGAGCTGCCCCCTGAAAGGCATATGCCATGTGTGCACCCACATACCTCTGTCACAGCACGTCTAACACTTGCCCATGCTTGTAAGCACACACACACACACACACACACACTCCCACTCACCAGGCCCACCTCCCTCGACCTCCAGCCCAATACCATCTCAGCTACCACCCTGACGGCACACTCTCTCTTCCCATCCCTTGGAAGCAGCCCCACAGGAAGCCAGCATGGGAGGGGAGACACCGTTTCCCTGGGCACACCCTGGGCAGTAGAGGCGTGGGCAGGGGCTGCCAGGAAGCCTGAAAGGATGCTTCCCCAGTAGTTGCCCCACCTAGATGCCCCTGCCCCAATCTTCCACCCTCAGAGCCAGGACAGGACAGTGTGAGGATCTCTTGAAGGCCCCCATCCCAGCTGCCTGACACCCACCACTACCACTGATGGCAGGCTGGGCCAGGGTAGGCAGGAGTAAAGCCTCTATTGGAGTCAAGAGGGACACCCAGGAAGGACCCAGGAGCCTGGCACAGGCCCAGCCTGGCTCCTAAAAGGGGTGGAGAGGTGGGCCTGCAGTGCTTTGGAGTCAGGGCCAGTGAGGAGCACCCACCAGCCCACAGGCAGCCCTGGAAGCTCAGAAGGGAGGAGGAGTAGGAAAGTGAGTCCAGATGGGGCAGGCAGTGGGCAGCTTCTCCCTTAAGGCGACCGGGAACCCACCCCACCAGAAAGCCTCTGTGAGCCGCTCACAGTAGGGGCCACTCCTAGGGCCCAAAGTCACCCACTGGTCACCTGTTCCCTGATCCTGGAGACCCACGTGTCAAGCAGCAGCTCCAGGCGTTCTTGGTGGAAGGCCTGGGTCGTCTTGACGGCAATGAAGACATCATGCAGCTGCAGCTCCTGGGGTCCAGGGCTCGGCTGGCTCAACTGGGGGCTCTCCTGCCCCCTCTGGGGAGACAGGCTTGTGTGGTACCGTAGGGACAGAAGCCCCATGCACAGGAGGGTGAGCAAGGCTCCAGCCAAGCCCCGCAGGAGCCGGCACTGCATTGGCCCGAGACCCCAGACAGTTTAGCCCTCAAATCCCAACTTCACAGGGAGGAAAGGCAGGTCAGGCCGGAGCCCCGGCAAAGGCAAAAGTCTGGCAGGCATCGGGGGCTGGCCAGGAGGGGAGAGGTAGGAGCCGGGGCTCTGGCCCCGGAGACTGAGCCATGGCAGCCCGCCGCCAACCCTCCACCTGCTCAGCCCTGCCCGCGCTCTCCCGGCTGCCTGGCCCCGCCCCTGCTTAGACAATGGGGCGGGGCCAGGCGAGGGGAGCCCCAGAGGTGGCTGGAAAGGAGGCCCCAGCTGGAGGGGCAGCGGGTACTGCCAGCTGCTGGGGTGGGGGTGGAGGGGAGGGAACAGCAAACGTCTATCCCCGATGGAAGAGGGACCTCCCACCTTCCCATGCCTCAGAAACCTGTCAGCTGGACTCATCCAACACCCAGGGATGGTGTAGTATCCTGCATCTCCCAGCTCTTGACCACATGTGGTCCTCACCCATGTTCTCTCTGCCAGGCTGAATTCTCTTTGGACTGTAAGAGTGAGCTCAAGTGTTCCCTCCTGCAGGAGGGCATCCTTGATGCCCGCTCCTGACCTCTGGCACTCCCTTGGGAGTTTGCTCAGCTCCTTTGGTCTTCACAGCAGCCAGGACTGTCATTCCCAGTTTGTAACTGAGGGCATAAGGCACAGAAGCCCAGAATGACCAAAGATAATCCAGCGACTCAGCTTCAGAGCCAGGTAGAATCCAGTCTCCGTCCTCATCTAGACCACAGGAGGCCCCTGAGGGCACCTCTCCCCCAGCACGGCCAGTGGATGGACAGATAGCCTTCTCCAGCCACCACCTCTGTGTCACCCGCACTAGGTCACCCACATCTCTTCCATTCTCTGCTCCGACCCCGCACTGGCTCTCATCTCCTTGAGAACAACAGCCAAAAAGGACACACCAGCCCACAAGGCCTATGTGCTGCCCTCAGGTCCCCCCAGCTACTCTTCCCTTGCTCCCCCCACTCCCAACCCCTGGGCTCCTGGCTGGTCCAGGCACATGGCCACCTTAGGACCTTTGTACTTGCGGTTCCTGCCTGGGTCCTCTCCCTAGAGGTCTGCACATCTCACTCCTTCATCTCCTTCAGATCTTTACACAAATGTTAGCATCTCCACGAGGCCTTCTCTGGCCACTTTAAATTGCAGCCCCTCTCCCCTCCTTCCAGGCCCCCATGCCTGTCCCCTGCTAGGCCTCCTTCTCTGATATTTTTCATGTCCCAGTATCCTGTACATTTTACTTATTTATTGTCTATCTTCCTTATAAGAATATCAGGGGAGGTTTTCTTCTTTTTTAATCATGGAGTCCCCTCTCCCCAGTGCCTAGAACAGTGCCTGGCACATAATAAGCATGCAATAAATAGTTGTTAATTAAACACAAGAAAGTCCC